TATTTATAAAATACAGAATAATTAGCAGATTTTGAACCTGAGTTGACTAGAACAGGGATGTAAGATTTCAAGAAATAGAAATCCCATTATCTCTTACTGACCTTAGGTTTAATCACTTTTTTACATGAATTAAGTTCCTCCTATACCTTAAGCCTTTTTCTTTCCATCTGGTCCTTGAGAAGTTTGGGCGTTTCAAAAAAATGCAGAATATTTTACTCTTAAAAAAAAAAGGTATTTTAAATACAAGCTAGTAAAAGTCTGAGCTCAAAGTATATTTTTTTTAAAAAAAATATAAAGAGGTCAGTCAGTTGTCTATTTCCCTAATCTAGTATAAGAAATGTCTGGAGGAAGATGAGACAAGATTAATTTGTACATTCTGTCAGAGAAGGGTGGGAAGAGACTTCTCTATTATTTAATCATTTGAAAGAAGAGATACCCCTCATTATATCTCTATCTTCCTAACCCAAAATATAGCTCACTTTTTGGTTTTTTAAGGATAATTGAAATTGATATTAAGAGCTTAATGTGACTCCCCACCTCCCTTTGGTTATAGCAGTGTCTGTAATTCTTTATCTTATCTCTGTGTCTTTTCTCTCTCACTCACCCCCATCACCTCAGGACAATAGTCCCTTGGAAGAGCTTTCGACAAGCCTTACATGAAGTACATCCCATCAGTTCTGGGCTGGAAGCGATGGCTCTGAAATCCACTATTGATCTAACCTGCAATGATTATATTTCAGTGTTCGAATTTGACATATTTACACGACTCTTTCAGGTAGGATATTAACTGAAAAAACTCTCAATGCCATCCAGTCAGAACCAACTCAAAGATGAATTTTCAGAACCTATAAATTGCATAGGAGGGAGGGGATTGTCCATCTTTCTCCTTGAGGATCTGCTGGTGGATTCAGACTTACGGAGAGGCACTGCCTTTGGGTTGGCAGCCCAGTTCCTGATAGAATATGCCACCTGACGTTGGCTAACTGGTCACTGCTACTTTTCTGGAGATAAAAGTTTTTTAAAAATGACGTTTGGGATTTTTGTCTATTGAAAAGATGTCTTTTGTTCATTTGTAAATTGTAAGTGGAGAAAATAATAAAACAACCCTGTTTGTTTCATTTTATATATGAACAGGTAGAGGGGAGTGAGAAAGTGTGTGTGTGTGTGTGTGTATGTGTGTGAATGTATGTGAATGATGTAAAATTATCTGTGCAATATGTTGTCTTCCCAGCATATCTTAAATATTATCTTTGTTACTCTTTTAAATAATTTTATTGTTTGTAGAATATCCAGAAAATACCTGTAGCATACCTAAATACCGAATACATGGAATCTGTTCTCTATTTTGAACATTTGTGTATTTTTCTGGGGGGTTTGGTTATTTTTATCATAGAAATATATATAATATTTGCCCATTCACCATTTATCAGATTGCATGTTAGTATACCCATTAACAGTAATTATTTCATAAAATCATCACTTAGAATCGTTACATTTTCTATCACTATTGAAATTCTTAATATTGAGATATGTTTAGGCTTCAAATAAAATATCTTTTTTTCTAGAATTCACACTTTCTTTGTGTAGTGTACACTCCACCTTCATAAAAATGTATTTGTTTGAACATATGGATCATGTCCTTCTTTTCTGTTTGTTGTTTAACCTCACTGTTATTGGCTAGGGCTATTTTCTTTCCAGAATATGTTTATCTTCTCTCAGCATGACAGTGTAATTGGGAATTTGTGATAATAAATTGCAATAACTGAGAATTCTTATCTTTCCCTTTGTGGTCACTGTTGTAAGGGTGGTTGTTATGTCCTAAGCAGAGCCATCTGTAATCATTGGTTTTTCTTTTTCCATAGCCCTGGTCTTCTTTGCTCAGGAACTGGAACAGTCTTGCTGTCACTCATCCTGGTTATATGGCTTTCTTGACATATGATGAAGTGAAAGCTCGACTCCAGAAATTCATTCACAAACCAGGCAGGTCAGTGCCGTGAAGCAGAGAAGCTTATTCTCCTGAATTTTATTCTCTTGTGACTTCTGATAAAATGGAGGAAACCGGATCTTCTATTAGTTCCCTAGAGACCAAAATTCTGTAATAGGATTAATGTCTGCTTATCAGAGGACTTGACTTACCAGACCTGGTGATTTCATAAGTACTCTCAAGCCACTTAAAAATTGGGTTTACTGATTTTTCGCCTTTTGATCTGAAGTCATTAAAAACAAAACATAACAAAACAAAAGACCTTATTGGCATTGCTTTTTATTTTGTCTGTGTCTTGCTTTCCTCACTGATATCGGCACATATATTAAAGCTTTTGTTCATTTATCTTCTCAGTTACATTTTCCGGCTCAGCTGTACTCGTCTGGGTCAGTGGGCTATTGGTTATGTCACTGCTGATGGGAACATTCTGCAGACAATCCCTCACAATAAACCACTCTTCCAAGCGCTGATTGATGGCTTCAGGGAAGGCTTGTGAGTATATACTGTTTACTGTCTGTTAGAGAGCTGCAGTTTATGGACTATCCAGTTTAATTTTTATTGACCTTATTCCTGGTTTCTTCTATAGATTAAGTTTCAGGAACCTATTAACAGGTTATATTGATTTTTAGCTCCTAAAGGGATTTAATTTCATAGTGATTCCTTGAGTGAAATTATTTTTCCCTATGATTTCAATTATTACCACAAAGAAATTATTTTTCTTTTTATTTTCCCAAATATTTAATTACTTGTAAATCTAGGCTAGATTTAATAAAACTCCAACTGTCAATGAATTTTACAAGTTGTTTAACTAGGCAGTATTAGAGGGATTAAATGCCCCCAGTGACAGCAGGCCTATGTAGTCTTCATCTGCCTAATCTTAACATGTGCTGCTTCAGCAACATTTTTTCATGCTTTGGGCATTTGTAACCTGTGTTAACATTTATACATTTGTAATTTATTCTAGAATTGTTGTTCTTTTGAGAGTTTTAACTAGCAGTTGTTAAGAACTACAGATAGCAACAATTGACAAACCATCAGAAAACCCTTTTTACATTTTAAAGTACTTAGGACCATTTTCAAGCATAGATAACAAGCTCCCACACTATCTTTTCTTTAGAGCTGAAAGAATTGCTGACAGGTGTAGCAACAGGTGGATTCTAGAACCTCCCAGGTGGTTGATGTCAGTGACTTTCTTTGCTTCTTGTTAATTTTTTTTTTTTTTTAACTTTTGTCTCAGTTTGAAAAATCTATAAACAAAGATATTTCAGATCTTTGGTCTAAAGTAAATACTGTTTAAGTTAAGAATTCATACCTTGTGGCCATCCATAGATAGATTAAAATAGAGATCAGTAAACAATGACAAGACAGACTATAGATTAATTTTATGGCCAGCAGCTTAGAATGATTTTCACTATTTAAAGTGCTGTTTTAAAAAATAAGAATGCCTCCTGGCACATCAGCAACATTTGGTGTTGTAGTGGGTAAGTGCTTGGCTGAAAATCTCAAGGTCATTTGTTCAAACTCACCAGCTGCTCTGTTGGATTAAAAAGAAGCATTCAGCTTCTATAAAGACTATATAACCATAGAAACTCTATTTCTGTTCTGACATTTCTGTCCTGTCCTATGGGTTGTTCTGAGTCAGAATTGATTTAATAACACAGTATTTAATTTGGCAGCACAATGATTAATTGCAAACCTACCCTTTCATAAAGTTATGGGAGAAAAATCTGACAGTCCGTGTCTAATGATCACCGCCTAAAAAACCTCCATGAGGACAGTTCTTCTCTGTTTCATAGGATCACTATGAGTTGAAATTGACTTAGTAGTATTTAACAATTTTTTCAGAGTAACAGAAAAATAACAAGTAAAATAAATTTTAAGGGCCACCCCTCCATATTTCCTTTCTAGGAGGAAGGTCCATCCCTTTGGAATATAACTTTCTAATAAATGTATCTTTGCTTTTTACCCTTAAAAAATTCAACATGTAAAAAAAGATGAATATATGATGAGAATGAGCAACCACAAAGTCTAAAATACACATTATATGCTCATTAGTTAAACCTCACTGTGAAAACTCTGGTGACCTGGTAGGTAAGGCGTTGCACTGCCAATACAAAAGACACTTCCAAGGCACCAGCTGCTCCAATTTACAGCTTCTGAAAACCTACAGAAGGGTCAGCTGTGAGTCAGTTCTGACTCAGCAACGCATTACAACGTTCATTTAAAAACAACACCCTGTTGTAGGGGAGCTCTGGTGGCCTAGTGGCAAGGAGCTGCAACTACAATCCTAGAGGTGCACGGTTTGAATCCACCAGATGCTCTGCTGGGAAAGGAGGGACAATCTCCTCCTGTACCAGTCAGATCTTATTTGACGGTACACTCACACAAAAATAATAAAAATGAAAAAAAAATTAAAAAAAAAAAAAAAACAACACCCTGTTGTATTGTGCCTGGAAAATGAATGTCAGTGTTTTAAGTCTGTATTCTTGCAACTGCTTGGTGGTTGGTGTTTTCAGGTTTTCGTTGTTTTTTTTTACATTTTTTAAAAATTTCTTTTAATTATGATTTTAATGAAAGTTTACAGAAAAGTTGACTTTTCATTCATTCATTGTTGCACATCTTTTTCCCTTATCCTTTCTCCCTCCCCAGTGCACGTAATTTTTTTTAAACAATGTCTTATTTATTTTTACATTTTAAACACTTTTTACAGCCCTAATGTCCTTGTTAGACAGCAGAATAATAAATGGGCTTGTTTTGCACCTATTTTTTTTTTAATTGAGATTTTATTGTAAGCTTATAAAGAACTTGAATTTCCATTCACTCATTGTTGCACAATTCCCTCCCTGCCCCCTTCCCCCAGTTTGCTTTTTTCTTTGGGGAAAAAAGTTCTTTCATTGTTACACAGTTCCTCCCCCACTCAGACCACTTTACTATGCAGCTCTTATTCTGGACTGTTGTCTTACCAATAATACCTAATCATATATTCCTTTTATACAGTTTTCTCCCTTGTCCATTTCAATGCAATGTACATTATTTATCCCCTCTTTTTTTAGCTTTCCCACAGCCCCCCTGTTAGTCCTGTTTTATAACAGTGACATTATACAGTATTTGTCTTTTTTTTTTGTATTTGTCTTTTTGTGACTGAGATATTTCACTCAACATAATGTCACCCATTTTGTATAATATCCCATGAGTTCTTTGTTTTTCAGTGCTGCGTAATATTCCAGTGTGTGAGTTTATCATAGTTTTCCTATCCATTTGTTTGTTGACACGTACTTGGTTTATTTCCATCTCTTTACTAATGTGAATTACACAGCAATAAACTGGGTGTGCATGTATCTATTTGGATGGTGGTTCTGGTTTCTTCAGGGTATATTCCCAGCAGTGCAATTACTGGGTCAAATGGTATTTCTGTTTCCAACTTTTTGAGAAAGTGCTAAACCACCTTCCATTGTGGTTGCACCATTTTATACTCCCACCAGCAGTGAATAAAGGTTCCAGTCTCTCCACAGCCTCGCTAGCATTTGTTGTTTGAGATGTTGTGTTTTGTTTGTTTTTTCTTTAATATTAGTAAGATACTTACCTTTGTGGTGGTGGTGTCATGTGTCATTTAGAGTCAGAATTGACTCAAAGGTGACCCTCCAGTGGGTTTTCAAAGGTAGTAAATCATATGAGAGGAGATTGTCCATTTTTCTCCTATGGACAAGCTAGTAGATTCAAGCTGTTTGCCTTTGGATTGGCAGCACAACCACCAGAGCTCCTTATCTTTATAATTATCAGTTACCCTTATATAATGAAGAAATTCTTAGATGGCATTTGTCTTTGTTAACAAGTACTAATAAATTAGCTTTATTAAAGCCTAGGTTGGTTCCTCTTTTTACAGCTATTTGTTTCCTGATGGGAGAAATCAGAATCCTGACCTGACAGGCTTATGTGAACCAACTCCCCAAGACCACATCAAAGTGACCCAGGTAAATTGGAAGTTTTTAAATTAAACATTATAACGGTAAAACAGGTGAGGTAAAAAAAAAACAAAAACAGGTGAGGTAAACAATAAAAATAATTATATGCAACCTTATCATTAAATCCATCAAAGGAGTCAAGCTTTACATCTTAGAACTGACAATGTAATTGTATTGATTGAATGCTTTAATTAGAAACTATTAAGATTAATGAACTTGTGTGCTTCTATACTGAATAATGTGTTATTTCTCCTTAAGCTTTACATCTTAAAATAGTTTCATTAGTCTTGAATTTTCTTGATTTTAGCATTTATGATTATATTCATCATCCAACAAATGTTGACAATAGAGGGAGTAATCTTTTTTCATCCATTCATAGGAACAATATGAACTATACTGTGAGATGGGCTCCACATTCCAGCTGTGCAAAATATGTGCTGAAAATGACAAGGATGTAAAGATTGAACCCTGTGGCCACCTCATGTGCACATCATGTCTCACATCCTGGCAGGTATAGATTCTAGTTGTGTTTTCTCTCAGCTTTGTAATCACAGTGAATAATTAAGTAGTCTCTACTTTTAGGCCCACCTGTTACTATCTTCTGCTTCATCTACAGGAATCAGAAGGGCAGGGCTGTCCTTTCTGCCGATGTGAAATAAAAGGTACAGAACCCATCGTGGTAGATCCATTTGACCCTAGAGGAAGTGGCAGCCTATTGAGACAAGGAGCAGAGGGAGCACCATCCCCAAATTATGATGATGACGATGATGAACGAGCCGATGATTCTCTGTTCATGATGAAGGAATTGGCTGGTGCCAAGGTAAGACCGCAGTTGAGAAAATGGACAAAATCCATTGTGATTTGTGTTCTAAAGCAATAGAACACTGCATGACATTTGAACTAAAAGGAGTACAAACTCAAAGCTCTTTGCTATTGACTTTGAACCAACTCATAGCTGGCCCTCTTGAGAGTTTTCAGAGGCTTGCAGAGTTTTCAGGTAAATTGCATGAGAGATTGAGTGTCTGTGACCACAGAGAAGCTGGTGAATTCAAAGTACCAGAGAGGTACCTGTTTGAGTTAGCTGCATAACTCAGAACCAGAGCTCCTTTTAGAAGGAGTACTAATAGCTGATACTATTGGTTGCTATGTGACAGATAAGTACTTGACTTATTTTAATATATAATCTGTATAACAACCCTATTAGTAGGAACTATTCCTCACTTAACAGTTGACCAAAACAAGACACAGAGGTTAAGGAATTTTCCAGAAATTATTCTGACTTTATCTAACCTTGGATTTAGCTTGGTGGAGATGAGAGGAATGAAAGAATTGGACCCTGTTTTGCTACTAAGTATGTTCTTCTTGTTTTTTTTAAATAGAGTCTTAGCATTAGAAAATTATATTAGAGAACAAAGAAATGTCACTCTTGTTGTTCTTGTTACGTGCCATTAAGTCAGCTACAACTAATAACAATCCTGTGAACAGTGGTTCTGAACCTTGCCCTATCCTGAGCCAATCTCACTGTCTCATCTGTCCCCATTTTCATAGTCACTACATCAATCCATCTCATTCAGTCTTCCTCTTCTGCCTTCACCCTCTGGCCTTCCAAGTATGATATCCTTCTCTAAGGATTGGTCCCTATTGATGGCATGCCCAAAGTATGTGAGATGGAGCTTCAAAATCCTTCCCTCAAAAAAAATTAAAAAAAAAATAAAATCCTTCCCTCAAAGGAACAAACTGATTTCACCCTTTCCAGGACAGACTTATTTTCTTGTCTGTCCATGGTATGTTCAGTACTCTTCTCCAGCATCACAACTCAAAGACATTGATTATTCTTCTATCATCCTTAGTCATTGTTTAGCTCTTAGATGCATAGCAAGCAGTTGAGAAAACCATGGCCTGGATCAGGCACACCTTAATCTCTAAACTGACATCAGTGCTCTTTAGTGCTCTGGAGAGATCCTTGAGAGCACATTTTCCCAGTGCAACTCATCTTTTAATTTCCTGACTATTGATGCCAAGTATGTTGATTGTGGATGCAAGCAAGAAGCATTAGCACCCTCAATCTTGTCTCCATTTCTCATGATACTCCCCATTGACCTGGTGGTAAGGACTTTTGTATTCTTGATGTTGAGATACAATCCATATTGAAGGCTGCCATTTTTGACCTTTGCAGCAAATGTTTCAAATCCTCCTCAGTTTCAGCAAGCAGGGTTGTGTCATCTTCATAAACATAGGTTGTTGAGTCTTCCTCCAGTCCTGATGCCACGTTCTTCTTCATACAGTCCAGCCTCCCAAATTATCTGTTCTGCATATAGATTAAAAAGGTATAGAGAAAGGACGCATTCCGGACACACTGCGTTCTGATTTTGAGCCATGCAGTATTCTCTTGTTCTGTTCAGACAAAAGCTTGTTTTGTCTGGGTATAGGTTTTGGATGAGCACAGTCAGGTGTTCTGAGATTCCCATTCTTCTCAACATTAGCCACAATTTGTTGTGATCCACGCAGTCAGATGCTTTTGCATAGTCAATGAAACACAAATAGACACTGTTAATAATAAGCATATAAATGACAACAAAGTGATTAGAGTGAAGTAGAACTACAGTTTCCACTTTGGAAAGCTGGGCCACTTCAGAAGACAGTGTCACAGACGAGAGCCACAGATA